ATGGCAAACACATAGTCCACCCAACCACATGTGCTCTTTGCCCCCCAGCTGATCCAGAAGTACAAGGTGGTCCTGGCCCCAGAGACGGGGGAGTTGAAGAGTGTGGCCCGCATTGTCCTGGTTCCCAATAAGAAAGTGGGCCTGCAGTTCCTGCAGAGACAGTGCTGAGCTGAGTCCCCACCTTGCTGGGGCTTGTCCTAGAGGCTCCAGCCCTGGCATAGTGGTTCCTGGCTGCCGCCTGTCTCAGATGAGGAGGGAGAGAAGGAGGCCGCCAGACTTGAGAGGTGGGAGGAACTCCCTGCACTTCCCACAGACCCTGAGCTTTTGCCACTTCTATCATTTTTGAGCAACTCCCTCTCAGATAAAAGGCCACCGCTTTATCGCATTGCTGTCCTTGGGTAGAATATAAAATAAAGGGACTTTTATTTCTTATCGGAGACCTTTGTCATTTTTTTTGACTACCCAGCATCTGAGGGAATTCCCCTTCTCCACTGAGTCATGGTGAGAGGCACAGCCACCCTGGTCCTTGGAAACTGAGAACACCTTTTGCTTTCCCAGACCCCACAAAGAGGCCTTGGTTTCACGTGGCACTGGTTGAGGCCACACCAAGCAGGAACTGCAGTGACTCCCGAGCACTGTGTTGGTCAAGTAGCAGTTGTAGAGAATAGAAACCACCCTCTTTGAACAGAAAGAGCAGAGATATAAGCAATGGGGTGCTACAAAAATTATTGGAGGTGCTCGAGACCAGGCTAGAGTTGACCTCTAGCAGGCACTGAGCAGCCTGGGGAGCACCATGTTGGCCACAATCAGGAGGATGAGAGTCTAGAAGCTATTGCTACAACTATTGGCTCTAGAGCTACTCCATTCAACTAAGTTCAAGTAGGTCTGTGCCGGCAAAACAAACCATGTCACACAGGAAGACCCCCATCCTGCCTCTCAATACCCATGAAGTCAGCAGTAACTGGACTTGGACCTTTATGAATGCCTCGTGACTGCTCCTGATAGCAGAAAGGGCAGGGGCCTCTACCTCTCTTCCACCTTCCACATCTTTCACATACAGCTGAGAGGAGGAACCTAAGTCCTGCCTGGAGCACTAGCTGCAAGGGAGCCTAGGGATTATAGCTTTTAACTTTCCAGCCTCCTTAGTACAGGAAGCCCACTCGAAGGAAAGTGGGTTGCCATTGAGAGCCAATGCATTACGGCACTGGCTTGAAAATTCAGAGTCCCAGCAGTAAATTTTGGTAGAGTCATAGAAAAAAAATGAAGTTCACTTTCTTTTTAAAGAATTAATTTGATTTTTTGAGACAGGGTTTCATTCTGTCACCCAGACCAGAATGCAGTGGCACCATCTTGGCTCACTGCATCCTCAACTCAGGCTCAAGCGATTCTCCTACTTTAGCCTCCTGAGTAGCTGGAACTACAGGCGCACATCACCTTGCCTGACTGATTTTTTTTTTTTTTTTTTGTAGAGATGGGGTTTTGCCATGTTGACCAGGCTGGTCTCGAACTCCCGAGCTCAAGGGATCTGCCTGCCTTGGCCTCCCGAAGTGCTGGGATTACAGGCATGAGCCACCGTGCCAACCTAAAGTTCACTTTCTTGGACCTGTGGGAATTATAGGGTTTGAACTCATTTAAAAAATTATGTCATTGCCCTGATTAAAATACTTCAGAACTGCCCTCAGCCCTCAGGTCAAGTTCAAAGTTGTTACTGTGCTTCATAAGACCTACTGTGCCCTGGCACCCTGCACCCTGGCTGTGGTCACCCTTTCACAGCTGAGCCTGAATTCCTTGGATGTCTCTGAGCACATTATGCTCTTTCCAGCCTCAACACTTTGTATCTCCTGTCCCCACTCTTGGAACACGCTCTTCCCCAACTGTCATGTCATCACAGAGAGCTTGCTTTTTCTTAGGATTCAGCTCAAATGTCACTGCCTCTGCAGGGCCCTTCCTGACCTCTCCGAGCAATCCTGTGTCCCACCTTCCCCTCCCCTGCTTACAGAGCTGAGCTGTCAGCATGCTCACTTTGTTAGAGATCCAGCTCTCTTCCCAACTGTGAATCCCCTGAAGGGCACAAATCAGGCTTCTTTAATGTTGGATCCCAGTGTCTAACTGTGTCTAGTACCTAAGAGGTGCTTAGTAAATGTTTCCTGAAAAAGAGACTGGAATAGGGGGAAGGGAAGAAAAGGGAAGGGGAGAGGAGGACACAGAATTTTCTACATTGAGAAGGGGAACCCAGCTTGTAATCCCAGCACTTGGGGAGACCAAGGCGAGTGGACCACTTGAGGTCAGGAGTTCAAGACCAGCCTGGCCAACATGGTGAAACCCTGTATCTACTAAAACAAAAAACAAAAAACAAAAAACAAAAATTAGCTGGGTGTGGTGGCATGCCCTTGTAATCTCAGCTACTAGGGAGGCTGAGGCAGGAGAATCACTTGAACCCAGGAGGCAGAGGTTGCAGTGAGCCGAAACTGTGCAACTGCACTCCAACCTGGGTGACAGAGCAAGACTTCATCTCAAAAAGAAACTAAAGAAAAATAAAAGAAGAACCTAGAGGGAATTGGGAGGAATTACTGATTATACAGATATGGCTCTCAACCCCTCCTGTGTAGTGATCCACCTGTGAGAGCTTCTTGCAAATATAGAGGCTGGGGCTGGGCCCCCAGGCTGCCAGGATCTGTGTCACAAAGTCAACCAGAGTGGAATTCTGCCTTCCCTAGTGTGCTGCTCCTTCAAACCAGCAAGGCCGAGCTGCCAAAACAACATGGGTGGTGCTTGGGTGAGGGGAAGTCTGTGATGAGACTTGGATTGGGGTTTTGTAGCAGTTGTGCAAGATGATGTCAGTGTTCACAGTCTTGCAGCTCAGTTAATGAACTGATCTCACGTGGAAGTCCAGGAAGACCTCGTGTATCCACACAATGAAATATTATTCACCCATAAGAAAGGAATGAAGACGCTACACTATGGATGAACCTTGAAAACCTTATGCAGATGGAAAGAAGCTCACAAAAAGGCCACATATTGTGTGATTTCATGCATACAAAATGTCCAGAATAGGCAAATCTATACAGACAGCAAGTAGATTACTGGTTGCCAAGGGTGGAGGGACGAGAGAATGGGGAGTGGCTGTTAATGAGTTTGTTTTGAGGGTGATGAAGATGTTTTGGAATTAGATAGTGGTCATCACTAACTTTGCTTAACTTTCTGAATATACTAAATATCACTGAATTGTATATTTTGGTTTTTGTTTGTTTGTTTGAGGTGGAGTCTCAATCGGTCTCCCAGGGTGGAGTGCAGTGGTGCAATCTCGGCTCACTGCAACCTCCACCTCCTGGGTTCAAGTAAAGTCTCCCATGTCAGCCTCCCGAGTAGCTGGGATTACAGGTACAAGCCACTACTGCTGGCTAATTTTTGTATTTTTAGTAGAGACAAGGTTTCACCATGTCGGCCATGCTGATCTCGAACTCCTGACCTCAAGTGTGATCCACCCACCTTGGCCTCCAAAAGTGCTGGGATTGCCGGTGTGAGTCACCACACCGGCTTGAATTGTATATTTTGGAAGGGTGAATTGTATGGCATATTAATTATATCTCAAGTGAAAGAAATCTGTGAAGATCGGTTTGATAAGATTATTATAAAAATAGATGTCAATGTAATCAATACTTGCAGAAGATTCTTGGGGGTCACCAATGTCCTAGAGGCACCACAGGAAGTTCTGAGGCAGCACTGCCCTGTCATGTATCTACAGGGCCTAAAATCCAACCTCAAATTGGAAACTGGAAATGCAGAGGAGAAAGGAACTAAGCCGATGGGAGAAGTCACGAAGTCCTTGTGAGGCTGTTTCCTCACCCTTTGATGAGGTGTAGGCACAGCTTCAGAGGCTCCCCGCAAAGTTTTTGGCATCAGTGACAGAACACAAGATGTGAGAGTTGAAGAGTTATGAACACAAATGTGAAACCTTGCCTACTGGAGCTGCCACTAGAAAGCCCGCCCACATGGCATTGGGATGAATAGAATCAAAGTCTCCCATCCCCAAACAGAGAAAAACAAAATATAGCATATGGTCAAAGTAATTTATCTTTATACTTGTTTTTTTAATATTTAAAATATATTTATTGCCCTATAATATACCTACAGAAAAATGCACTGACCCTAAGTGTACATGAGATTCTCTCATAAATTTCATGTGTACATGTGTACTTCAAGTGTATGTGAAATGACCTCTGTTTATACTCCATCACAATGCCTGGACAAGACTTACTTAATATAAATGAAAAAATCACTTTCTTTGACAGTGATTAATTCAGATACATATGTAATATGTCTAGGATGGATGTGGTCATAGTCTCAGTTCCTTTCCCAGCAGTTTTTTCTCTGGAGGGAGAAACACATCACCCCTGGTTTGAGGGTTGGGACAGAATTCATCAGTGGCCAGTGATGGGGCACAATTCCAGGCCCCGAGACTCTCAGGAGCTCAGGGCCCCCAAGCGTCACCATGAAGACATGTCACAGTGAGGCTCCCTGAGAGCCAACCCCAACCTGCCTCTATAGAGAAAGAACAACAGCGGATTAAGGATTGTTGGTTCTGCACAGCAGATCGACATTTGGCTGAAAAGACGATACACATTGTGTTACTCATACCCCAGCTAATTTGAACTTGTTGGCCAAATTCAGATCCATATTTTCGGGTAAGACCTTAAGAAAACAACTAGTCTTCTTAAACAAGGCGGCACTCTTTTCTTTTCTTTTCTTTTTTTTAGATGGAGTTTCACTCTTATTGCCCAGGCTGGAGTGCAATGGCGCAATCTTGGCTCACTGCAACCTCCAACTCCCAGGTTCAAGCGATGCTCCTGCCTCAGCCTCCCGAGTAGTTGGGATTGTAGGTGCTCACTACAATGCCCGGCTAATTTTTTGTATTTTTAGTGGAGACGGGATTTCACCATGTTGGCCAGGCTAAGCCTTGATCTCCTGACCTCAGGTGATCCACCTGCCTCGGCCTCCCAAAGTGCTGGGACTACAGTCGTGAGCCACCGCGCCTGGCCAAGGCAGCACTCTTGTAAACAAAAATAGATGGGGTACCCAGTATTGCCTGGCTATCTACAGCCCAGGTTCTGTGGAAGTTTTAGCTCTTAGTGCATTTTGGCTTGGTAATAGGAGTTTGTTTCCAGGTCATTATTTGTGACTCCAGCTTTAATATGCATATCAAACAAAAACTTGGACAATTGTCATGAAAGGAACATGTAGGATATTGTAATGAACACTTCTGCATTTAAGGATATCTGGGAGAAGGATGGTGAGAATGGTAATGAGTCATACATCTATGTTGCACCACTACCCTTAGTCATTGCTTCTTGGAGACTGCAAGCATAATTAAATAATAGCTAGACCCCATCATATGACAAATGATTGACTAGCTATGAGCATGGGGCATCCTCATTTCTCAGCCCAGTCTCATGTTCATCATGTGCTATTAATCATAAGTCTCTAGCATTTATAGAAAATAAATACAGTTGCTCAATTCCCACCCCCAAATGAGGAAATTAGTACCCGTAGGAATGGAGCCCTGGAATCTGCATTTTGTAAGGCTTCTTTGCTGATCCTGATGCACATCCAGGGCGGAGAGCTACTGAAGGGGTTGTGAGAAGAGAGACGGGAAAGCGAAGGAAGCTACAGAAACCCAGAGAGGCCCGCAGAGGTCTGAGGAGGGGCTGGGGGCACGGAGGCAGCAATGCGTGGAAAACCAGCCCCGCCCCAAGTTCACATGCGGGAATAGAGTGGGCGGCACTGCAGGCTGCACACAGGGCGCGTCTCTGATTCTGAGCTGGAGTGGAAAAAGCAGCCGCAGCCCCGGTGGCAACTCCGTAACTCTTTTCTAGCAGCCATGATGGCTGCAAGGGCTGGGCTGTGACCAGAGGAGGGGTCAGAGGCAGGGAGGGTGGCATGTGCCCTTACAGAAGGTCCGGAAGGGAAGAACTGCCGGGTCTTTAGGATGGTGAGTCCAGACAGGTAGAGACAGATCTGCTCCCATGATGGCAAGGGGAGCAGGAGGGGCAAAGAGTGCCTTTCTCAGTTGCTTGTCCTAGCACCACTGAAGATCTGTCTCATGCACAGAGCAGAGCCGCCCAGAGGCACAGCCTCAAAGGACCGACCTGTTACAAGATTCCAGAGCCCCAGGCTCCTTAGGAGCACTGTCACTGGAGAGATCCTCAGGGCCCAGACCCAACCATCACCGAACTCCAATCCTCTCCCTTGAGCCCAAGACCCTGGACCTTCTCGGGTGGGACCACAGCAGAGCCAGCACTGACGCTCAGGTTTTGGCAAAATGTCTAGTGACAGAACATCTTCATTTATGGTCCAACCAATTCAGTACAAAGCCTCTGCCTTCTTGCTCTGTGAGGTAAGGGGAAGGAGTCACGTTTTAGGGACAGTAACCTCCCCCTCCTCTGGACAGCCAGCCCGTTGCCACGGGGAAGGTGACATAGCAGAAGCGAGCCTCGGCTTCGGAATTTCAAAGGCTTGATTCTGAAGGTGGATGGCAAGAACTCGGGACACTTACAGTGCATTTGGAAGAATATATGATGGGTTACAGAATAAAAGCCCCTTCTCTCCCTGACTGGTCAAGATTCCATGGGTTGGCAGGGCTTGGGGAGCAAGGCGACTGTTGACATTTCTGGAATCCTTGAGAAAAGGACCCTGAGAAGGAGGTTGCGGCTAAAGAGGGGGAAAGTATGACAAATACACCATACAGGTTTGGAAGTGATAAGGGTAGGCAAGCACTGGGTAGAAGAACCCACACGCTTCCTGGGAAGAGCCTGGGAAAACAGCAAGCCACAGAGCGGAACAGGTGACTGGGCTCTGTATCTTAGCAGTTGGCCTGGAACAGAATCACTGAGCTTCCTGAAGCCAGAGGGTGTGCAGGGCCAGGAGCTAGAATGTTCCATATGCTCCAAGCCACAGGCCCCCAAAGAGGCTTTGTGGACGTGAAGGAGCCCCTGGCAGACCATGCATGACCAACTGATGACCAGATAGGATGTCCAAGCAGGTGCTGAAATGGATAGATGATGATGGCTGAGGACCAGAGTCTTACACGACTTAAAGCCACCCCCCCCCCAACCCCACCGAGCTTAACCCCAGGAAAAGGTCGGGGGAGACTCTGAATTGACTGAGATTAATTTCTAAAACCTGGTGAAACGGGATTCCTAATAGAAATTACATTCTGTGTTAGAAAAATAAAGTTATGCTTCTTGCAGATTAGAGTTTGTAGGCCGAGTTGTACCTACTATATAAGCAATGAATTAATATTTTCTTTACAATTTTGTAAAGAAAAGGGAAGAAAGAAATTTCAGTAGAATAGCACTACATGCAAAAGAAATGCCACTTGCGATTTTTGTCAAATTTCCTTTTTGTCTTTGAATTCAGAAAGCACAAGGCTCTTGCCACAAGTTCAGGTCAAAGACTGCAGCATTTTGAGAGAAACCTATAAAATCTAAGTTCGTGGATTGTTCCTTTTGTTGTGTTTTTTTCAGTTGCTCATTCATAGGGGTCCATATACAAGGCCATCCATCTCTGGGGACACAACACTGCTCACTGCGAGAGCTAAGGAGTTTTCTGGACAAGAATGGAGGGAGGACCCCCACCTCCAACAGGCAGTTCTATAAATAACAGCTGCTCCATGGTGGCCCCTGAAAAGCAGCATTTCAGCAGCTCTGAAATGATAAAGCCTGGAGAGTAGGAGGGCAGTGGCAACATTGCTGGGAACAACAGCTGGGACTCCCAGGAGCTGAAGGCTGGAGCCATAGGTAGCCCAGAAACCGAGGAATCCAGAAGCCCTGACTAAACCCACTGGGGCCGTCCGACCCAGTTAGGCTGCAAGGGGATGAGTGGGCATGGAGCACAGATGGCCCTGGGGTAATCCTAGTGCCTCTGGTTCAGGGACCTCCAGACTTGACTCAGCTGTTCTCCTTAATTTCATCATGCCATGGTGCACTGGGCATGTCCGAGGGCTTCTGGGAACACAGGCAGGGCAAGGGCAATCTGGGAAGGCTGAAGAAGCCTGTGAGGAAAAGAAAAGGGAAGATGGTGACCACGTAGGAGGGGCAGCTGCCTTTCCAACAGGGGACTCCTGCCAGCCATGGCGAGTAGACAGAATCTGTGCCCATCCTCTGCAAGCCCCTAGCAAACGTGTGACCCGGAAAGAGTCTGAGATCATGTCACATTTCCTGAGATGAGCATGGAGGTAGAAGCTCCTTCCTTTAAGCTTTAGTTCTTACTGGGGATGGAAATTCCATCCAACAAAGGTTTACGTAACTTGCTTCCTTCTAATGGAATTCCCAGCAGGTGGGAATTGAATTGTGAGGGAACAAGGAAATCTTCCCAGAGTGTCTGAAGTCACATCGCTGCCTTAGCCTTTAGCCGGGGCTCTGTCCCTTCCTCCTAGGAGAGTCTCCGTGACGTCAGCTGAAAATGGGACAAAGTGGGGACGTGCAAGTCCTTACACTTGTAGTTTTCACAGGGCTGCTCAGCTTTGAGCTTGGCCACTCCCGTCCTCAGGGCATCCCAATCTGAGATCCAGGAAATCAGGAAGACTAAGAGGCTGGTGTCATGGCCCAGGGCAGAGCCTACCTGAATCATAGCTGAACCAGCAAATAGGGGTGGGGGAAGATGAAGGCTGAGTTCCCTGGCTCCCTTCATTGTCTTCCAGGTGTGGAAGAGGATTGGGATTGAGGACTCGGATCTTCTCAGGCCCCAAGGGCATCGATGCCAGCAGGGCTGAGCACCAGTGCCTGAAGGATGTCGGAGAGGGAGACCACGCCCAAGAGATGCTGGGTCTCGTCCACTAGCACCAGCCGGTGTACCTGTGGGTCCATAGTGTTCAGTGAGGGGGCAGAGCCATGGGGCTACAGCAGCTACTGAGGTTGGTGCCAAGAATCAGGAGAAACAACCCACCATCACCTGGGGAGAGAGTGTTTCCTAGGAGCCAGTTAGGGATGGCTGTGATCGGCCTTGGGCGATCAGCTGGCAGTGACCCCTGGCATAAGGGGCCCATGGACAGGACAAAGTGCAGGCCAGTGTGGGCACCAGGAGTTGGTCATGAAATAGAAGGATAGGCCAGGTGCCCTGATGTTCAGGGATGGCTGGAGCCGTGCATGAGAAGGACTGGGCTGTATGTGTTGCGGGCATGAATGGAGGGCACAGGGTACCTGCTCCTGAGCAATCCTGTCGATCACTTCCCCCAAACTCTCATGGGGCTGGCAGGAAAGGACTCCCTCTAGACACAGTGTCCTCTGCCTCAGAGCTTCTCCCACACTCATGTCCAGGTGGTTGTAGGTTTGCTGGGCAGCCAGGTGCTGGGGCAGAGAGAGAAGCATGGCTCCTAGTCACCCCCTTGCCTGGGCTCCTACCCCACAGATGTCAACCCCTGCATACTTGTCAAGGTTCCCCTGGTTGACAGAGGCCCCCCACCCATTCCCACACCCTTAGTCTCCCTACAGCATCCCACCTTTCCAGGGACACTTACGATCACATCAAAGCGGGAATAGAGTCCCACGACCTGACCTGCAGAGAGTGGTGGGTGGGGGCAGGGAGAGAAAGACAGGGAAGAGCCTCCGATCAGAACCGGGGTGCTGTGTAGAGGGCCTAGGGCTATTTGCATCAGGGTGCCACTATCAGAACCCAAGGATCAAACTTAGCATCCCAGAGTGAGACAACCTGACGTCGAACATCCTGAGGAAATGCAGTGTGAGTAACACGGCATCACCTACGAAATAGTCTAGCCTTGAATTTATTGCCCAAATCTCTTCAAGTCTTTAGATATAAGTTCAGTTTACAGGAAACACAGGACTAGAGAACAAAGTAAAGGCCAGCTCTAGAAAGCAAACAGACAAATCTGGATGTGGGGTATCCTATAGGACAACTGACCCGGGCTTTTCAACTCACCCATGTCATAACAATTTAGGGGGAATGGGGTTGTTCTAGATTTAAAGAGATTTAAGGAACAAAAGACACGAATGTAAACCATGGACTTCAGTTGGGTCCCGTTTTGAACACGTCAACTATAAAAAATACATTCCCTTGGGAGGCTGAGGTGGGCAGATCACAAGGTCACGAGTTCAAGACCAGCCTGGCCAACATAGTGAAACCCCATCTCTACTAAAGATACAAAAAATTAGCCAGGTGTGGTGGCATGCACCTGTAAACCCAGCTATTTGGGAAGCTGAGGCAGGAGAATTGCTTGAATCCGGGAGGTGGAGGATGCAGTGAGCCAAGATCGCACCATTGTACTCTAGCCCAGGCGACAGAGCAAGACTCTGTCTAAAAAAAAAAAAAAAAAAAAAAAAAAAAAAAAAAAATCTTGGCCGGTCGTGGTGGCTCATGCCTGTAATCTCAGCACTTTGGGAGGCCAAGACAGGTGGATCACTTGAGGTCAGGAGTTGGAGACCGGCCTGGCCTATATGGTGAAACCTCATCTCTACTAAAAATACCACCCCCCAAAAATTAGCTGGGCGTGGTGGGGGTTGCCTGTAATCGCAGCTACTCAGGAGGCTGAGGCACAAGAATTGCTTGATCCCGGGAGGCAGAGGTTGCAGTGAGCCGAGATGGTGCCACTGCACTCCAGCCTGAGTGACAAAGCGAGACTCCATCTCAAAACAACAACAAAAAAGCCCAACATTCTTGAGGAAATGGAAAAGTAAGAATAAGGATTGGATACCAGACAATAATATGAATTATTCATGGTTTTGTTTGGTGGTATAAAATGCATTTTTTTTTTTTTGGAGTCTTGCTCTGTTAACAGGCTGGAGTGCAGTGGCGTGATCTTGGCTCACTGCAACCTCCGCTTCCCAGGTTCAAGCGATTCTCCTGCCTCAGCCTCACAAGTAGCTGGGTCTAGAGGTGTGCACCACCACACCCAGCTAATTTTTTTTGTAGTTTTAGTACAGACAGGGTTTCACCACATTGGCCAGGATAGTCTTGATCTCTTGACCTTGTGATCCGCCCACCTTGGCCTCCCAAAATTCTGGGATTACAGGCGTGAGCCACCGCCCCTGGCCAAAAATACACTTGTTTTAAGAGGTGCAGACTAAAATGTTTAGGGGTGAGATGACATGATGTCTGTAATTTACTTTGAATTACTTCAGAGAAGAGATGAACTGTTTATGGCAATACAGTAACAGTAGTTAATCTAGGCAATGGATATAGGTGGTTCATTATGCAATTTCTTTGTACCATTTTCATACGTTTGAAGTTTTATATAATCAAAAATAAATTGAAAACAGTTCTTGATATCTATCTTAATTATGGTGATTTTAGCTTTGAAATATTTCATAGCCATCATTCAACCAAAGAAATAATCTTGTCGTCCCTCTAGCCCTTTTTCAGTGTAGGAAACTGAGGTCTGGCTAGGGGCCCGAGGTCCCATGGCACATTTTACTTTTTAAATTTTATTATTTCGTTATTATTTTAGAGACAGGGTCTTGCTCTGTTGCCCAGCCTGAAGTGTCACTGTATGTAAACTCAAACTTCTGGCCTCAAGCTACCTTCTCGCTCTGGCCTCTTTCAAAGTGCTGGCATTACAGCCGTGCACCACGTGCCTGGCTCCATTTTAAGATGAACTAAAACTAAAATCTGCTGCTTCCTGTCACTATGCTCATTTTCGTGCATATAACCTTTTAAATCCTCCTGTGAAGTCAGAAAGATGAGTGTTGTGAAGAATCCCATTTCACAAAGGAGGAAACTGAGGCACAGAGAGGCTAAGCAACCGGCCCAAGTCTCAGAGCAGATGGAGACTTCTAATCCATAGTCCATCCTGTACCCCCCACAGGGATGGCATGGGAACCCCTGCCCTTCCCATATTCTCCCCTGCCAGGTTCTCCCAGGCCCCAGCCCAGCCCAAGCCTCTCATCCTGTGCTGGGTACCACATTCGTTGACCACAGGCAGTGCAGACACACGCCGGTCCACAAAGATGTCCAGTGCAGTCAGGATGGGTGCTGTCTCCAGCACCACAGCCAAGTCTCGGAATGTGCCGATGCCCAAATCTTGGATAGTGCGGTAGAGGAAGGAGGGCCGGGGCAGCAGGGAACCCTGGTTAGGAAGGGGACCCGGTGGAGATCAGGGATCCAGCAGCTTCAAGAGGGCTCCCAGCTCCTCCCTCCGATTCCTAGGGCTGAAGACTCCTCAGGCCCTCTGATCACCCTTCTCCCGCTTCCTCCCACCTGGGCCCAGGCTCACAAAGATGTGCAGGAACTTGAGCAGGCGTTTGTGCGTGAGGATGTGGAGTACGTTGCCTGACACCGGGTCCAGAACAGGCAGGCGATGGATCCGGTTCTTGATGAGGGTGTAGACAGCTTCAAACAGGCTGCAGAGATGGGAGCAGTGAGCCTCGAGACAGCCTGGGGAGAGACACCCGCCATCCCAGCCCCCTAAAAAGGAGGGCAGAGCACCAAGGCTCCCTTGTCCGTGTGTCGCCTAGGATGAAGAGGTGAGTTCAGAGCTGAGTGGGACTGAGGAAGGGGACTGTGGGAGGAGGAGGCGCAGGTGAATGAGCAGGGACACCCACCTGTCATTAGGAGAGATGGAGACCAGAGGCTTGAAGCAGCCTTGCAGGTAGATCTCTGCAGAAAGAGCCAGAGTCAGGCCAGGGGAGCTGGTCACCTGCCTCGCCTTGCAATCCCAGGCAGCTTCCCTTCCTTCAGGCACCCGGGGCTCCTATTGTCCCTCCCCTGTTCGCTCCAGGACATCCCCCCTGCCCATCCTCCGCCTTAGGCCCTGGCCCACCCTCACCAACAGCCCCTTTCCGGGTTCCTCTCCCCACTCACCCCTCCAGGTCTCAATCTTATGTTGTTCAATCTCATAGATCTGGACCTAGAGATATCAACAGGACTCCAGAAGTCAGACAGACATGGGCTTCTAGGGCACCAGGCTCCAGGAGGACTTCCCTCCGCCCCCGCCCCTCTGGGTGCTCATAAGATTCCCAGCCCACTCCTCACCAGGGGGGACCTGTAGTAGCGATGCAGCACCAGGATGAAGTCAGTGATGGTCAGCATCCCTGCAGGGGAGGGGCGGGGAGGAGGTCAGCTTGGGGCCTTTGGGTGGGAAGCAGGTTGAGGATCAGATCCCCTCCCCACCCTGCCAGTTTCCTTGCACTGAGACACAGTGGGGACTGTGGGAAGAGGACAGTGGGACAGCCCCCCAGGCCTGAGAAGTGGGGCTCTTTCTCTCCTGCCTCCCCGCATTTGCTCCCTAGCACCTACGGCATGGGGCCATGCAGTAGCAGAGCTGGAAGGTGTCAGCTGGTCACAGCGGCTCCACAGATGGAGAAATTGAGCCCCAGGGTCTCCCAGCTGGCCACGCAGACTCGGGATGGACTTTCCCCCACCCTGGCCCCTGGCTGGGCTTGGCCTGAAGCCAAGCTTGTGCTATATCAGAGATTGGCCCCAGAACAACCGTACGAGGTCCCCACCTCCCCTTCTCCATCTCCCTTCACCTCCCCAGCCTCTTCTCACCCACAAAGCTCTGCTTCTTGCTGTCCCATAGAGGGGCTGCCCGCACACCGTTGGCCACCAGAGCAAAGAAGGCCTTCTTGATCTGAGGGGCCAGGGAGAACAGTCAAGGGTGGGTCCTGAGAGACCCTCACCCTCCTCTCTGCCCCTCAGTGGGCACCTCCCATCTGCCTGCTGTCCCCTCCCTGTCTCACCCAGGGTTCTTCCATGGGGCCTTCTCCTGGACCCTCCTCTACACCAGCTGGCCTGTCTTTCTCATGACACAGTACACACTAGACATGATCATTGCTGCGGACATGTGGTACATAGATAAGGCTGTGGCCTGAGACACTGAGCCCCTCACCTGGCACACCAGGGAGTGAAAAATTCTAACTTCATGTTTCCATTTGGAGGGCATGTGTGTACAGACACAGTCTAGTTTTTGATAGCCTAAGTACCGGAGGCATAGTTATTTCCATAACATTTGCATATCTACATACTGTTTTGTAGACAAATTTTATATTGACTCATTTTGTGCCTTGTCCTAAACAGTACTATCTGCACATGCTGGTTATATTTTTTAACACACCCTAAAACAAACACAAAGCTACTGAAATAGGCATATTTGTTCAAGAACCACTAGAATCAAAACATGTGCTATGGACAATACATACACCATGTTTTGGGAAAGGCTGCATGGCACAACAATGATAAGAATAAGATTATAGATGTTTATAGCTTAGCCTAATGGAAGAGAAGGTGCCAGAGCTCACTATTTTTTTCTGTGGCCAAAACAGTCCCCTATTCTTTGTTCTAAGTGACTCTGCAGTGCCTTTTTTTTTTTTTTTAATGGAGTCTCGCACTGTCATCCGGGCTGGAGTGCAATGGCACGATCTCAGCTCACTTGCAACCTCCGCCTCCCAGGTTCAAGCGATTCTCCTCCTGCCTCAGCCTCCTGAGTAGCTGGGATTATGGGCACCTGTAACCACACCCAGCTAATTTTTTTGTATTTTCTTTTTTTAGTAGAGATGGGGTTTCACCATGTTGGCCAGACTGGTCTCGAACTCCTAACCTTGTGATTTGCCCGCCTTGACCTCCCAAATTGATGGTATTATAGATGTGAGCTACTGTGCCAGGCTTTTGCAATGTCTTACACATACTTTGCTCATGCTTTATACTGGGTAGTCCAAGAATCCTCTGAACTATGTAGGGTGCAGCAGGCATTTTGATCCCCATTTTAGAGACGAGAAAGGTAAAGTAACTCAAAGTCCTACAGATACTAAGTGGCAGAGCTGCGATGAAAATTACGTGTGCTCACAGAGAGTAGAAGCTCTCCCTCCCCCAAATGGCCTCCATAGTGCTAGGAAGGGGTCCTTTCAGGGGGCTTGCAGGGGCACCTGGCTTGGCAAGGCATCCTGCAGGGTGGGAGCGGTAGCTGCAGCATTGTGTGGATGCAGAGCGAGTGCAGGTTGGGCAGAGCCATGGCCTCACCTCCAGCGTGGTGTCGAAGATGACCAGCTTGGAGCTAGTTGCCATGGCATCATAGCAGGTGTGCTCCTGCATGAAGCGCATGTAGGTCTGGGCGCCGGGTTTCTGCAGTTCGTCATCCCAGCCCAGCTTGGGAAATAGGGCTTGCGGGGACGGGCATGGGGCAGGCCTCTCTTCAACCAGGCCTTCTAGCTCACACTGCCAGGCCTCTGTGGCTGGGAACTCCGTGGCCAGCTCCACATCATCTGTGCTGGAGCCTGTAGCTGAGGCTATACAGTCAGAGGGGAGGCAGTCCCACCCTGTTGGTGGAGTGCCTACCCTGGCAGGATCAGCTTGAGCCAAGGGTGTGGCCTTGGGGAATGTGGCCTCCAGCCCGGTGGACTCAGCAGCTGGCCTGGACCGGGGACCTGTTTGGGGGAGGAGGGGAAGAGGACAGTAACTCCATCTTCCAAAGCACGTTCTCATCTGCTGTCGCCGTTCATCTCACAGCAGCCTTTGGAAGCCTGGATGCTGTGGCCCTATTTTGCAGGTGAGAGGCTGACCTGAGAGTCACCCCAGACAGTGGCTCTGTCCCATCTTTCTGAGTTGGCCATGCTGGCCCCCGGCACTGCAGTGCAGTTGTTCTCTACCACGTAGGGAGACTGAGGCCACAAGATGAGGGTTGGGTCCAACTCTGTGTTTTATGGAGGGACCCGAGTGAGAGCCCAGATCCAGGCTCCTCTGGGACTTCCCACTGCTCTGGCTCCCATCTTCCCAGAACTGGCCTTGGCCTCACCTTGCCCCTGACCCGGTGGCTCCCCTTCCTCCACCACCTCCTGCCTTGTCCATCTCGAGGCCTTGGCCCTCCATTTCCCGTGGATTCTTTCTGAGCTGCTGGTCACAGCTGGTGATGGCCATGAGCTGCTGTCTTCTTGCTCTAGGAAGCTCATCTCTGGAAGGGGAATGGGGCCTGTTTGATTAACAGGGAATAATACAGAAAAATCAATTCAAATGTTATTCATAATCTTTAGGATTTGCAAGCTTCCAATGGGCTTTTCTCCAACATATTTCTCATTTAAAACTTACAGCAGCCTTATAAGGCAGGCATTATTATCATCCCTGTTTTGCTAGTGAGGGACCAGAAATTCAGAGAGGTTAAGCAATTTGCCGCAAATCACACAGCAAGTGGGAAAGTCACTTCTGAAACAAGGAAGGAGGAGGTGAGGGAAACACACCTGGGGAAAGGAGGAAGAACAATAAGGAAGAAGAACCAAAAGGAGGAAGATAAAAGCCAGGCTGGGAGGGAATGTGGTCCCAGAAAAGTGGGGGACAAGGAAGTGGGGGAAGAGGTTAGGCCCCAGGGAGGGGGCAGTCTCCTTACCTTGATGCTCAGAACCCCCAAGGCTGCTCCAGGAAGGGGTCTGTGGGGAGAAGACTTTCTGAAGGAGTGGGGAAAGTGCCTTACATTCCCAGACCCCTTCTCCCTGCACACACGCCCACATACCCATGCACACCAATACACATGCTCAGTCACACGGCCATACACAAACACACACAGAAAGACACACATCCAAACGCTCCCAGGCACACAGAACCACACACACTCACAGTACATATGCCCAGACACGCACATGCCCATATTCACGAGAAAATCCAGACCAAACACACACCAAAAGACACACACGCACAGACACACATTCACAGCACGTGCTCTCAATCTTCTGGCCTCAGCTGCTCCGGCGCCAGCTCCCCTGGGACCCCCATACCCTGTGCAGTGCGTGCTCCAGCTCTGGCTCCATGTGGCCAGCCCCGGACCAACGGAGAGCAAGTGTGCGACACTGTGACTGGGCCGCACTATTCTGGGCCCAGCCCCGGGCACCCTGCCCTGCCAGGATCAGTTTCTCTCTGATTGGGTGTCAGGCAACAAGAGGGAGGGGCCCCTACTTGCTCAGCTGCTCCAGCCCCAAAGGCTGGGGGTTGCTGGGAGGGAAGGGGCGCACCTGATAATCTGGGTGCTTGGTCCTCAGCTCCCTCCTGGGTCATTGAGGACAAGCTAGAGGAACCCTTTATGGGGGGAGGTGGCTTGGAGCATGTGGGAGCATGGGCGCTGGGCAGAGTTGGGCTCTCAGAGTTCTGAGCCCCTATTCCAAGGGCCTCCCTCATCATTATCAGGCACCAAAGCAGGGAACATGGAGGCAGGTCAGTGTAACTGTCTTCCTTGTTCTAATTTCAGTAGAGGGTGGTGCTGGAATTAGAAAGGGCAAGTTGCAGCCAGCTCAGAGCCTAGAGATGAGGCAAGGGGTTTGTGGGTAGTTCCAGGAGAGCAGTCAATGTATGTCCAGATGTCCAGATTTGAGTCCCTGGAGCCTGTCCCTCTCTCAGGTGGAGGAGGTGGAGTGGGTGTTTCAGGCAGGTGAAGAGCTGTGAGAATCACCTCGAAGGTGTAGGGAGCACTCAGAGCTCCCCGCAGGGGAAGAGACACCTATTTCCACCTGTGGTTGGGAGATATGTCTGGGTGTGCAGGTGTCCCAGCTCCCATCCCTCTGTGAGTGCTGTGCCTACATCCCTGGTGCCAACAGGATCCCAGCCTGGCTCCGGCGGCTGCCACCCCCTTCCTTGGCATTCCCGAAGCCTGAGTCAATGTCCGGATCAGGAATGCTGACCCAGCTGCTCCGGCTTTCCTCTCTCTGCCCCTCCCTTTCTATCCTCCTTCCAGCCTCTTCCATCCCAGCCCTGGCCCTGGAGTGGACACTCAACAACAGACTGGTGGATTTCTGGCTGAATTTATTACATGTGTTTTCCATCAACCCTCAATATTCCTACTCTGGCAAGGGGGAGGGTGGAGGAGAATGGAGTCGGGAGGACAGCCTTGGCCAGGGCTGTTCTTGTGGTCCCCAGCCTTTCTCAAGGACATCTGCTCACCAGACAGTGGGAACTGGCTCAGTGGACAGAGATCAGGGTGAGAGAATTTCCTTCACACGAAGCATGTTTTTTCAAATGGACTCAAGATAGCCACCACCAGTTTGAGAGAAAGGAGAGTAGGAAGAACACCAAGTCCAGAGTATTCAAGCATAAAAATAAAGTCTACCTGAAGCCATTGGCTGTGGTTACTCAAACATGGAGCCAATCAGAAGGCTTCTAAGATTGTGAGGGTGTTGTATTGGCAAAGAAACCATAAACCTGATCAGCAAAGCCTGGTTTGACACCACTTCCCTTGCCTTATTCCCAGCCCTCCAAATCCGCACCAGCAGGAAGAGGGCTGTGAAGACTGGAACGACTGCAAAAAGCACAAGTTTGCCAGTGCAGGACAGAGGGTATTGGATAAGGAACAGCTTCCCAGCAGGCAAAGCCAGAGACTACATAGGAGAGTGGAAAGGGGAGACCTTCCCAGAGAGCGGAACCAGGAGTGGTCAAATGTGCTGACCAAGAACTTAATCCACTGCCAGGAAGGGGCTTTGCCATTCCTGCCCAACCAGATTTGATAATTAAGGTCCAGCAGCTGCTGGGTGTTTGCCATTCTTTCAGTCGCAAGTGGAATTTTTTTTTTTTTTTTTGAGACTGTCTCACTATGTTGTCCAGGCTAGTCTCAAACTCCTGGGCTCAGTGATCCTCCTACCTCAGTAGCTGGGACTATAGGCGCATAGCGGTGTGCCCAGCATGAGTAGATGTTTTCATTGAGCTTACCCTCTTCTTCCTCCACTGGTGTCTAAGGGGTGCAAATCACATGCCTGTTAGTTTTTAGGTCACCAGACCATGGGGTGTCCATCTATGTGGAGGAAGGAACTGCCCACCCCTGGACTCTAAGCTGGGTGCTATATCCACATGGAACTCTGACTTGCCTCCTTTTGAAGGGCAGTAACTGTGTTTTTTTGTGTGGGATGGCCAGATGGGTGAGCTCTAGCAGAGCAGTATCTCTTCTCCCCTTCTTCTGCTATTAGTAAATCGCCACAATTTTAACTGAATACAAGATTATATTTCCCAGCTTCTTTCACAGATAGTATGGCCATGTGACTAAGTTTGACCAATGAGATTTGAGCAGCAATGTTATATGCATATATATTACATGATATAAGGGTGCCCTTAGGAGGAAAGGGAACCCTTTCCTACTGACTAGAATTACAATACGATGGTGGGAGCCGGAGCAGCAAACTGAACCCAATGATGGAAAATGCAGTTTGAAAATGATAGAACATCCCCCACCCCTGTCCTGGTCTGCCTACCTCTGGATTGTTACTTTAGAGATAATTAAATTTCTGTCTTGTTTAAACAGCTGACAAATTGAACCTTTGTTATAGCAACCAAGCCTCTCTCTAACTAATACATCTATGTTGCAGGATTGAGGTAGGATTAGGAATTACATATGTAGATAATGACCCTGCCTGTCCATGCAGTGCTTAGTGTCTACTACACACTGTGCAAAACACATTACATGGCGTGTCCCATGTAATCCCTTGCAACCCTATGAGGGAAATACTTTTACTCTTACAGTTTTACAGATGACAAAACCAAGGCATAAATAGATTAAGTAACTTGATCAAAATCTCAAAGCTAGTGGGATGGAGCCAAGAATCAAACCCAGACTCAGGCATCACATTTATAACCACTAAGCTTTATGGAACACACAGACCTGCTCCCTCTAGACCTCCAACTATGAGACTTTGAAGGCAGGTAGGCAGGCAAGGGAGGGCTCTGACCCTTCAGTAGCCATCTCCTGCTGTTGTCAAGGTTGCGGTGGAGGAGGACTCCAGCTTGGGGTAGACACCAGCGCTGCTCAACACTAAAAGCATAGTGACTTACCAGTTTTCAAGAAGAGCTCTGCCCTGCCCCTCCCCTGACCCTGCACCTGCCCTTTGCCTCTCAGATCTCCCACCCTGCTCTGACCACAAGCCTACCTCCACCCATCCTCTGGCAGGGCAAATCAGCAGAAGGTACTTGCTTCAGTTGGGTAATAAATACTCCTTGGGTGATTGATTTTAGCCTGTGGGCATGGCATCATATTTCTTGAAACCCTACTTCTTGGCTCACTCGCAGACTGGGTATATAATAAGGACCCTGCACCCTGACCCTAGGGTGAATTTGGCTGCTATCTCTGGAGATCTGATTTGTCTTGGACATGGGGTTGGGGATCCTGTTTAAGTGTTATTTTTATATCAGAAGGAGGAAAAACAGCTTCAGGAGGCCAAGAGAGTAGCCTGGATGAGACCCATTACTGAATAAATCACAAATAGGGTCCCCTATGCCAGAGCAGTTGGGAGGCTGAGAGAGCAGCCTTCATAGCCATCATGGGACACAACTGCTCTGTCCTGTTTGTGTGTGGCTAGATGGAGCAGCATCTGTGCAAATGTATCAAGGGCCTGGATAGAACCAGCACCTTGTCAGTGCAATTTAGTCTGCACCACAGGCCACATTACTGAGTCTTTTTCTGTGAGCTATTGGGAACTGTAGTGGACAGTTGTTGCTTTTCCATACTCAGTATCCATTTACCCCTCTTTTGGCAAACTTCTATGTTTTCCTTTAGGAAACCACATTCCCTCAATTCACCTGCAGCACATGATTTTCGGAAGGGCTCAACTGTGCTTTCCATTAAGTATTCCTCTGGTTCAGATGTAGCCAATTAGCATGCCAAATAGCTCTGGCCACATTGAAGTGGGCATTGACAGAATTAGCCCAATGGGGTGAATCCTGGGACTTTTGCTGGAGTTAGAAACTCTTTCTCACTGCCTTTGGAACTGTGAGGATATAAGTGTGGAGATTCTGGATGCTACCATGCAGAGTGGAGCTGCCTGAAGATGAAGCCAAAATAAAAGGCAAAATAGCCACTACGACTAAAAAGACCAGGTTCTCCTAACATTCATTGCATCCCTGGATCAAACTGTAGCTGAAGACCTACCACTTGGTTTTTGAGTTACATGAACCAATAGAATGGCTTTTTTGCTTAATGCAGTTTGAATTGAGTCTTCTGTCACTTGCAGCTGAAAGAATTCTAATTGATATCAGAGTTAACAAAGAAACAGGAGACTTGGCCGGATGTAGCGGCTCATGCCTATAATCCCAGCACTTTGGGAGGCTGAGGTGAGCAGATCACCTGAGGTCAGGAGTTAGAAATCAGTCTGGCCAACATGGTGAAACCCCATCTCTATTAAAAATACAAAAAATCAGCTGGGCATGATGACACATGCCTGTAGTCCCAGCTACTCGGGAGGCTGAGGCGGGAGAATCACTTGAACCTGGGAGGCGGAGGTTGCAGTGAGCCAAGATCATGCCACTGCACTCTAGCCTGGGCAACAAAAGTGAAAGTCCATCTCAAAAATAAATAAATAAAAGAAAGAAAGGAACAAAGAAACAAAGAAAGAAACAGAAGACTTAGACACCCTCAAAGGCTTCTGGGGGATGTTCTGTCATTGCTTTTTCCTGAGAAATAGTGCATATTTGAAAAAAACAACTAGAGTAAATCAATAAGCTATCATGAGGGTAAAACAAATACTTGGAGAGGCTGGCCGTGGTAGCTTATGCCTGTAATCCCAGCACTTTGGGAGGCCAAGGCAGGAGGATAGCTTGAGCCCAGGAGTTCAAGACTAGCCTGGGCAACATAGTAAGACATTGGCTCTGCGAAAAATAAACATAATTAGCCAGGAGTGGTGGCACATGCCTGTAAGTCCCAGCTACTTGGGAGGCTGAGGTGGGAGAATTGCTTGAGCCCAGGAGGTAGAGGCTGCAGGGAGCCAAGATGGCACCACGGCACTCCAGCCTGGGTGACAGAGTGAGACCCTGTCTCAAAATTAAATAAATAAATAAATAAATAAAGTACTTGGAGAAAACAGAGTAAATGAAAGAGATTAGAATGGGACAAGGTTATTAAAGGAAGGCT